ACGGCCTCGATGATGGGGCGAAATAGATCAAAGTGGAAGATCTTCAGGACTTCCAGTCTCCGGCCACTTTGTGTGGATTATGCTGTCACATTTGGCACAATGGGGTTAATGGGTTTTCCGGGAACTTGTTTATATGGAAAAGGATATAGGTACTAATCGATGTGGGAATATCAGAATGATGGCCTTTAAGATCTTTGAGTCAAACTTTAATAAACAATATATATATTAGATGGTCACTAAACTAAACTGTGTGTGTAGTACAGTCACCTAGCGATCCTGCCTTAAAAGAGGACACATCCTACTCCAATTGTTGGAGGATATGGGATGCTGACATGGTGCAGCTACTAACGAGCAATTATCGCCAGCTCTCAGGCGTTGAATCCTGATTTCACACGCCTGGACTGAAGAGACAGAGGCTGAGAACTTGATCCAGCGGAGCCCGAGATATCCTGCACAAAGCGTCATCATCACGCATTTGCTACGCTTTCGGGGGAGTCTCCTGCCTGTGCAAGGACCTGCAGGTAGAGATACAATCGCACTCACACAGCCGCACACCGGATTGTGGATTTCGTTGGTGCACATTGTTGGGACACAATGGAGGAAAATATTTTCGTCCTGTTGTCAAATGATTGCATTTAATGTATCGAAATCTGCGTGACGAATCGATTCAGTTCTGGCTGGCAAGCTGCAATGGGAAACTGAAACTGGGAACCGTTGATGGTGGATGTGGATGGCAACCAGTTGCCTTTGAATTCGATCGAGCTCCGTTTTATGGGCTTCCTGCCCGGCACATGGTCTCTGTCCCATTTAGAGCCAATCCCAACCGCACGGATAACTTAATCAATAAGTCGCAGTCAGGCCGAAGGATGCGAAATACGCTCCTTTGTGTGGGTTTGTCGGTGGAACAGATCAATTAGCAGGCGGTGCAGTCGGACCCATGCTCTGGGTCCTGCGAGATCCCTCAACGAGCCTAGCTAAGTTGTCAAAGTAGGATGGTTATGGCCTCCATCTGTTTTTTAACTGGGTGGACTCCTCAAGTGGAACTTTCACGTACATATGGCTGGAGAGTAAAACAAATTGGAGTCGCCTCATAAGAGGCGGTGGTTCTCGAGAGCCAGGACCTTAATAGCTTGAAATATTAATTCTGACAACTCCATTTGTGTCCAGGCCTTTGAAGAGAGCCGAAATAATTCCGTGTATTTGGGATGATTTTAAGGGCTCTCCTACATTGTTCTACATTTGTGTTTCATTTAAAAATCCAAAAGTTAGTGAGAGGGTTAGTATAACTATCTGAAGCATTCATATACCTGATGGATAACATAATATAATGTTATAAATAATATTGCTCCTCATTAATCGGATGTCTCTATTTGTAAGGTTGGCCAACCTACCTGTTGGCAGCTACCTGTATCCGAGAGTTAAAGCAACAAATGCGAAATCCGATCATAAAGGCAGTATAAAGTAAGTCTTTGTACCTAAGCCAAGGAGCAGGATTCATTCAAAATCTGGGATTGACACCAGACTTATCAATAACCGGGAGAATTAAGGCGAAATACCCAGAAGAAAAGGACCTGATTAGTGACACTTTTCAGCGATTCGGGATGCATAAAAAATAGTCGATTTTTTGGCCAGGCAACGAGATCGATCATGGCCATTGTCTTGGCCATAAAGTCGAGCCGAGCCAGAGGCCCTTTGGGCCCGCATCCTGTCGAGGGAGAGAGTGAGAGGTCGAAGCCCTCGCTGAGCGCGACAAATGTACTCTGTCTATGCAGATGTCCCGCTGATGTGTCCTGGCCATGTGACAATCGCCGAGTCCTGCCTGCACGTCCTGCCTTCGGGCCCTGTTGACAGCCAGCAGGGACCTCAGAGAAATATCGCACATTACGATCAATTATGAGACTCAATGCTCACCCACGGTGGAACGAAACCGGGCGAAAGTTCTGAAGCCCTGGGAGGGAAGGAGGGGTCCTGGAGGAGGGAAATCTTGTGGCGTTAATTGAAAATTACATGCACATTGTCTGTGGCCACGGTGTCTACTTGGAATTCGCCTAGCATTTGGAATAGCCTTCTCTTCTGTAGTATAGGCCTCCTCAGTTTTCTCAGTTTTGCCAGCTAATGAGGCAGGCGTAGCGCTGGCTCGAAGCGTGAAGCTCGCCAAGGAAACGCCTAAGTGTGGTTTTGGCAATGAAACCATAATGTCAGCCAGCGTGGAGTCCTCCTAGGAGGCCACGGTGCGGTCCTGATCGGGTCCTGATCACCCAATCAGCGACCACATGCGCACGGTCTGTTGAACTCCAAATTTTTGACCAAGGTCCCAGGATCACAGGGTCACTGAGCGACTCAAATTCAATTCGTTTTGAAGTATTATGTCCTAAGCTGAGTGAAGCCTTTGAGCGAAATTTTCTAACAAGATTTGATGCAGATTGCTGGAGAATTTATTTACAAATCAAACAGGATATTCCGCATAAAGATTGAATAAAAATTGAAAAAGATGTAGGCGTCACAGTGGGCCATGAGAACCTTCACAAAAAAATTGAGGGGGTTTTGTTGCAGACTCCCCTCAAGGATTAGGTTAAAATTGACAAATATATAGTATTACCTTTGGGCCATATAAGTTCTCCCCATATAAGGTCCCCAATCTTTAGAGGCGACTCCCGGAAAAATGATTAAAAAATCTAAAAATAGTTTAGCTTCTGGGTTTTGATGCAGATTGATGGGAAGTCGCTCTACAAATCGTAAAAGATATTTCGCTTTGAGATGGGATGAGAATTGCCAAAAATATATAGTGCAGGGTGAGGTCTATCAATAAACACCCCGTTTTTGAAGGAACCATCGTAAAAATGTAAAAAAAAAAAATGGATTATGAATTTTTAAAGAGCTGTTTCCTAATCCAAAGTCGACTAGAAGCCCAAAACTCTATCCTGATCATCTCATTAGTATTTGGAAAGATGCCACATAGCCGCAATGTGTGTGTCCAGGACCTGTGGGTCCTCGGGCGGCTTAGGGACTGCCGAAATCAATTAGTTTTGTCGCGGCTGTCAAAATTATGCATTCACCAGGGAAAAGTCAGGGTTAAAGTTAAGCCACCGGGGTCGGCGGCCGCTTTCATCTCTTCCCTCCGAGTTGCAAAAAGTGCCCAAAGATCCAACTCAATTAGTGGCTCGGAAAGGGAAGCCGCAAAGAAGAATCGAGGCGTTCAAATCTTCGTTTATCCCTTGGCAGAAAAAAGAATAGCAACTGAACCTGCCGCCTCAACAATTGTTGAACGCCTACTTTTTCCCGCTGTCTCCGGCCCTGCCCCTGCCCCGGCCTGCGTCTCTTTCTCCGCCTGGTCAGGCCGTCCCTGTCTGGCACTTTCAACTTTTCCGCCTTTCCTGAGTGCATCATTATCATCGGCAATTGGACTACTGCGTCAAAAGTGCGCTGCCTACATTTTCTGCTCAGGCACCATTGTTTTGTTCACTTTTTTCTGGTATTTGGACAAAAAACAGTGTAGGAGAGAAGGGACAGCAGCAAATTAATAGACAGTCATTTGGAACATGTGTTGTTGCTGCTTTGATTGTTTTGTCAAGTTGTCTAAGATATCAAACGCGGAGTGCCGCCGAGATGAAGCCCGAGATGAGGCCCCATTCCAGCCGGGCCAGCAATCCATCTGTAATAACCCACAGCGCTGACGTCTTCATTGTCTCCACTTGACTTTCGCCCAATTTACGTAGATGGGATGCATGGGATGGGAAGGCAGGCAGAGCCTGTATGTTGGTTCAATTGTTCTAACAAAACATGCCATAAAACATACAACATGTAGAAACAAAACCACTTGTACTTCCCTGTTATTGTAGTCCAGTCTCGGTCCGATTGCCAAGCCCATCCAGATCCAAAATCAGTAGCCCTACAGTAGGCTTCCTTTGATCTTAAAGCCACATGAGGTGCATGTGTCGCGGGACTTCAGATAGTCCTGTTTAAAGTCCCTGCTAGCCCCTCACCTCTGAACAAATCACCAAAACAAAACTTAACTTTGGCAAAACCAACTTTTGAAGTTCTAAGCACCAGGCCCTGGATATTTTCCAGGGCATTAATCTCGCGGGATTGGCCGAGATCCACATTGATTCGCCGAAGCCAGCCCAGAACTAATTCGAAAATCTGTCGCGAAACTAGAACAAATCCCGCTGCTGAAGGGTTAACCCCTTCGGATTACCTGAGCTCGCCGATTGAGCTGAGCTCCATTGAGCTGTTGAAAATCGTGCCGTAAGCCCAGGCAGGATCTACGGAAAGTAATCCCGGCCGAGGCAGCAGTACCTTGAACTAGTTTGGGTGGGATTAGGAGCAGCTCGAGAGTCCCTCGGCAAGCGATTGATTCTGCGAATGGAAATTCAAGCCATGAGCGGATGGTCTGATATGAAAGTGTTCTAGAACAGTGTATGAATATAAAATATTATAAGATACTATTTTATTATGCACAAGTTAAGAACCTCCTAAGAACACTCTCCCTTAAATAATTCCCAAAATGTATCTACAAGATACCCATTTATTGCTAGCTCATCAAGTCATTAGAGATTCATAAGCATCCTGATTAAATCGCAGCCCGGCGGAGCTCTGTTTTTGTTTTTATTGCCGCTTGTTAGTGCAATTAATAGTCAAAACAGCGAGCGGGAGAGAGACGGGCGAGCAACCCCAAAGACCGACCCTGTTTGGATTGGGTGTAATGGATATTTTGACGCCGGAGCAGCAAAAGACTGCAAATAAACATCCACAAGTTCCCAAACAAGGTCCGCTTCCATGCCTCCATGGCCTGCCATGGGTCTGTGGAAGACGAGTGGAACAAAATGGTCACAAAATGGAGGGCGGAGCCTGGCTCTCTCCCGGAGAGACGGGTCGGCTACCTACCTCTCCCGCTCTTGCGCAGTGGACCGCCATCTACCTGTCTCGCTCGCCCCGTGAGAGCTCTTGTGTAGACTTCGGGCGAGCGGCCGGGGTGGACTATAAGTAGCCCGGGCCGGGGCTGTAGAAAATCAGTTCAACCCGAACATCCCAAGCTACAACATCGCAAGCGATCCCAGTCGTGTGTGAATAAACCTACCAAAGAATCATATCCAAGACAATGGTGAAAAGTGTGAAAATGGAATTCAAGAGCAACTTCTCCATCGACGCCATTCTGGCCAAGAAACCCAGCAACAGCAGCAGCGCCACCGTCATCAAGACGGAGCCCCTGCAGCAGCACCACCACCTCCACCAGATGCCCCACCACCAGTACGTCCATCCGTACTCCAACTCGGACGGTGAGCTGTCCGCCTCCGAGGACTTCGACTCCCCCAGCCGCACCAGCACTCCCATGAGCAGCGCCGCCGAGAGCCTCTCCTCCCAGAACAACGACAAGCTCGACGTGGAGTTCGACGACGAGCTGGAGGACCAGCTGCTGGAGGACGAGCAGGACTGCGAGGAGGGCGAGGGCAACCCCAGCAAGAAGCAGAAGGTCAGCTCCGGCGCCGACAACAAGAAGCCGCCCTACAGCTACAACGCCCTCATCATGATGGCCATCCAGGACAGCCCCGAGCAGCGCCTGACCCTGAACGGCATCTACCAGTACCTGATCAACCGCTTCCCCTACTTCAAGGCCAACAAGCGCGGCTGGCAGAACTCCATCCGGCACAACCTGAGCCTCAACAAGTGCTTCACCAAGATCCCGCGCAGCTACGACGACCCCGGCAAGGGCAACTACTGGATCCTGGACCCCTCTGCCGAGGAGGTCTTCATCGGCGAGACCACTGGCAAGCTGAGGCGCAAGAACCCCGGAGCCAGCCGCACCCGCCTGGCCGCCTACCGCCAGGCCATCTTCTCGCCCATGATGGCCGGAGGCTCCCCGTACGGTGCTCCTGCCCCGGGCTACGGGTATCCAGGTGTGCCTTTCGCCGGAGCCGCAGCCGCCGCCGCCGCTGCTGCCGCCGCCCTGTACCAGCGCATGAATCCCGCTGCCTACCAAGCTGCCGCCGCGGCCGCCGCCGGCTACCAGCAGATGCAGTACCAGGCCGCCCCGCAGGCCCATCCCCAGTCCGGCCCGGTCTCCGCCCCACACCCCGCCCAGATGCAGGGCTACCCGCCGCACCTCAACGCCGAGCTGTTCCAGCGCATGCAGTTCTTTGGAAAGTTCCCCAGCAGCTAGACCCTCTGCTCCGGACGACAAAAAACCAAGCCCAGCGCTTAGGATCACCACAAACCCAGGGACGAGCCGGGGATGGGGGAGGAGAACCAGGAGCTTCTCCTCTGGCACCTAATCCCCTCGGAACCCTTGACGTCTAAATGCTGCCATTTAGCAATTTCCTTTGGACCCATTCTCTGCAGGATCGACCTGGAAAGTCGCTATCAGAATCAAGGAGGCACTCGGAATTCTGGCCCCAGATGTTGGCCAGTTCTTGACGAAGAGAGCCCTTGTAGTTTGGCTGCAAATATTCTACTATATTTTATTAAAAAAAAAATAAATAAACAAACAAATAGAACCAAAAACTTTGAACTGTCTTCTTTTTTAAACTTTTCAGAATTTTCAGGAACTTGAAAGAGATTTCTTAGTAAAGCTATCAAAACTGATAGACTCCTCCATCTTTGGAAATAATTATAGGCTGCTAATAGCAGATTTGAAAGAAGTGACCTATTCTTTCTATTCCTGACTCTATTTGACAGTCGAAATTTGGTTTTCTTCAAAACCTTTCTGCCTTTTGTGGAGTCCACCAGATGCCGTCCTGTTTCCCAGTCACATCCCGTAAATATTTGCCCAGCTTCCTTCGTCGACTGGCTTCCATCCTGATGACTTAATTAGTTGTTTGCTAGCCGGGCGGCAAACATGAAACCGATTCCCGAAAAATGAGGCTCAGAAATGGAGAGGGAACGAGGTCCAAAATGAGCCATCACCCATTGACCGGGCTGCTGATGTTGCAGCTCCGATTTGGTCGTTTTTGTTGGCTCTTTACATGCCCAGTGACAACTCCAGCTGTGCGAGATGGCCGGGCACCGCAGGTACGATCCGAGCCCGATATGATATCCCAGAGACCGTAGCTGGGTCGCACTACCCCTTGCCCCCAGCCAGGCCATTGTCTGGATCTTCCCCGAGAGCACACTTCTCCTCGGAGCCCCGTCGCAGGCAATTTTTCTTAACTTTTGTTATACAATTTTTCAACTAATATGTGCGCTACACTGGGAGGAATGATCCACTCTCTTTGGAAGTTATTTAGTGTCGACAGTTTTCTTTAACAAGTAAAAATCCTTAAAACATAGTATGGCACGATATAATTATAATATGTACCGAACATTTCTCTCAGTGCAAATGGGCTCTCGCATCTTTAGTTTGAAAGATGAGAACCTTAAGAAAATTGTCGAAAAATAGGAAAAAAGGCACCGCACCGACTGGGGCGTTGTTTCTGAAATTTCCCAAACGAGTTCTCGCTGGATATCTTCATTTTCCGAATTTCACTTGCCGGGCCGGCGGCGGCCTCCGATCTTTGATCACTTGACATGTGTTTGTATGGACGCAGTGCGTCTGTGTGCCTCGATGTGGCAGCTTAAGTGCGCGTCGGAGTAAAGATGTGAGAAAAAGGGAGCATCATCAGCATCAACAAGTTTGTTCCCCGTCCCCAGCCCCCGGAAAATTCTAATAACAAGCCTCGCCTCGACCATGTCGTAAATAGTCGCCGTCCTCTCCCCGAGGCCCTTTGTCTGCCCCTTTCATTTCTCCCAAAGCGATTTGTAAACGGAATGATAATTAATATCATCGTTACTAGATTAATCTCCCTCCCCCCCTGTCCAGGTATCTCTTTTGGCCTGGCCAAGAGCCCATCCGATCGGTAGCAATTATCATATTTTGTGTGCCCATTTTTCTCCGTTTCTAATAATTGTAAATTATTGTGTGTGTTGGTAAATCATGTTATTGAAACGATTAGCTGGCAGTTTTATAAGGTGTCAGCTTGGAAACGGGTTGTCCGATGGTTGAGGAGCTGGGGGCTAGATGGAGGCCCGGAAAGTGGTGCAATACTTTATGGAGTCTGCTTTTGATGCAACCGGAGCCAGGCCGAGTCGTGCATAGATCTAAGACTTTATTGGAGATAGAGATACTATCGATGAAGCAATGGACATACATAAGCCCTAATCCCTATCCATACTTTCTAAGATTATGTGGTGTGTTTGATCCTTAACCCTGTCAGAGGTGCCTTGTTTATAAAATATCATTGCCCATTTCATCATTTTGAGTCCATATAGGGTATCCTTTGAAAAGAGCCAACAAGCTCCTGCATGGAAGACGTCCTGTATGTACACATTTGGGGCTTATGCTCGGCTTAGGCCATCGCAAGAGTTAAATCGGTTTTCGGCCCACACGCCCTAAGCCTTCGCTTCAAATATTTTGCATACTGCACCCGATCTGGATCTCAGCCGAGTGGAAGGGGCACCAGAGACTCGGATGGACAATCCGCAGATCAGGCGAATGAAACAATTTGGATGGTGGCATTGTTTTATTGGACTGCCCAGCTTAAGCTCGGGTTTGGTTTGTTATTGAAACAGATCGGATGAGCGCATTATATACTTAACACGTTTCATGTGCCCTGGATTCGGATTGAATCCAGAAATCCACTTACCTAAGCCCGGGGACTACGGCTCCCTGAGCTCTAAGTCGCTAAATCAGTCCGGACTCCGGAGGTTTCCGGGATTTCTATAACTGTATCACTTTAGAATAGAATTGTTAAATCAGGATGGCATTGTGTGTGGAACAGGAATGGGAATGGGAACGGGAATGGGAGTAGTAGAGTAGCACGCGCTGAAGCAAAAGGAATGTGGTCTTAACCAGTTTCCTTCTATTGGCTTAAGTACTCGACGTGCAATTTGCAAAGATAACAAGCAGCAGCGAGGCGATCCTCGGATCGGGCTACTTATCTTATTACCCGGGTTAAGTGCAGGGATTACGGGGTCGAAAGAGCAACCTTGTGGGTCTTGAATGCACAGGATACGGGCTGAGAGCAGATGCCGAGACCTGATTACCCAGCGTGCGTTTGCAGGACTCGTAGGATCCTCGAATGCCGGCCCAGATCTCCTCCTGCGTTGTGCGTGTGCCGGTTGCTACACTTTCTGTGCATTTAGACTGCTCCTGGGTGCTCCTTCTGCGCTCTAATGGTTCAAACCCATCGGCTTAGCATCTACCAGGCTCTATTTCATAAATATTTTATACATATAATCGGCTAGTTTCTTGCCGCCATTATTTGGGCAAAGGCTTAGGGAGAACAGTGGTTTTTTCTCCCTGTCCTTTGAGTCTGTGTAATCCCGAAAATGGATAACACTGGAACACAACTGAGCTACTGGGCTACTAGATTTCTTTAAAATTTTGTGCAGAGGACGTGTAGGTAGGAGGTCGGGGCAGGAGACTAGCCCAGATAGTTGACAGTAAGTAACTCACTTTGGCTGCCAAGTTGCCAAGCAAATACATTATTGATTTATAATCCAGTTTGCCCCATCAGAGCAGAGCAGTTTCTCATGAGCTGGGTGCTACGTGGAAGCCCCGCAAGTATCGGGTGTGTCACCTAGGAATAATGCGAATCAAACGCAGTGGCAGCCCCCACCCTCCTGGCGAGAACCCACAGTGACCACAAAATGTGTTTTTAATTGAAACTGATGTGGCCGGCCACTCTGATGGGTTCAGATGAGGGCAGCGCATTCAAATATTTATTAATAAAATAATTGTTAACCCATGGGCCGAGCAGTCTATAATCAAATAATGGCAATACAAACACAGCCACGGAAAACGGGAAAATATTTGAAAATATTTAAGCGACAAATGCGCAAAGTAACAATACACCACGTCCGCGCACATGTGGGCAGTGGAGTGGAGGCCCTCCTTAATTAGTTTCTTTCATTATCTTGGCCTCTCTGTTGACCCGAATTTCAATTAAGTTAATTTACGCCGCAGACCTCGCTGCCCAGTAGTTTCTTCCAGCTTCCTCCTTCTCCGCGACGAGAACCAATAAATAAATGAACCATGAATGGGCCTACTACGATGCGTAGTTCTCCAATTGTAAGGAACGTACTCGCAATTAAACTGAAATTATGAATGAGTAATTTCGAGCTGCACTTGAGCACTCGCCCGACCCGGCCAGTGAGGTTCGAACGGAAGTGAGTTCAGCCCGGGTTGGGGTTAACTCTGAGGAGTCGCCGGCTCTGGGGATACGGACGTCCAATTCGGGGAAGACAGCTTGCATGACAAGTTGGCATCTGAACTTTTCAATTTTGCACTTGAGCGGCGGAATGGATCGCAGATGTCTTGGGTGAGTCTTTCAAGTGGGACCGGAAGTGACTCCCCATGCTGGGGGCTCCTGAGGTCGATTTCCTTGTGGGGCTACTATGGTTAACTATTTTATTGACACTTTCTGAACTGAGTTAGAGGGAAGAGAGTTTGATTGCTACCGAACGCCGGCTAATTGCTGTCTTCTCAGCCGTCTTCTCGACAGAATCTCTCACCCACTCTGCCTCAGATTTCACACTGATACACACACTGCTAATGGCTTCAATGGGCAAACAGTCGACACAGCCTGGCGCACACAACTCATCGCACAATCAACAAATTAAGTCGGGCCAAGGGCCACAGCTCGGACCTCAATTAAATTGATTTAGATCAGAGCAGGGCTCTCCGTTGCCGGTGCCCGGTTCCCGGACCAGAAGTCGATCGCGAGGAGCACTCTAACCCAATCACTTGTGAACTGACCAATGCACCAGCATAATCCAAGCGGCCCTGACCGATCCTGTGTGGCAATAAATCCGCAAGAGTACCCGCAAGTTTTCGGGTTAGGGGTTCTAGTCTTACGCGTGGCCTCCAAATTTGTTTGCTCTATGAAAAGGTATTTCCAACTCGTCATTAATTTGGAAATAGTAATATTATCTTGATTGAATGTTCATTAGTTAGGGCACTTTATCGTTAGTATGAGATAGCCAGGCTAACCAAGGACAGTAATCCTCAGACTATGTTGCACAAGACTGGTACCACCTCTCACCCACAGTAGTAAGGGTATGTAGTCCGTCGGCTATCAGTGCTTCTGTCCGTTATTTGTTTTGTGGTCGCTTGTTGACTGTCGTTAATTGTTGCTCAGTTCATTAACACACATCAGAGAACATGCCACATCGCACCATGCCACATAGCAGCGGACCACGTTGCAGCTCGGCTCTATTTGCCACCCTCGCGTGGCACACGCGACTTTTTCTCCGCCCCACCCTCCCGCACCCCCCCACCCTCTCCTGCCCCCTCTCCGACCGCTCGGGGCAGCACTAACGATGACATCTAAGCGGTTGCTGCTGATGGTGCTGCACAGGGAGAAAGTAGTTCAGCGTGGAGGGTGAACTGGCTCCATAGAGGTCTTCCGCGACAGGGCACAGATTACACTTTTTTCTCAGTGTCGGCTGCTGATGTGGCTGCTGCTGGTGTTGCCCTTAACGATGTTGCTGACGAGTGTCGTGTTGCCGCTGCCGCTGCCGTTGGTGCGACTTTGTCAGCGTTGTGGGTTGTTAATGCTGCTTTGTGCGGTGTTGGTGTTGGCGCTGCGTGAGTTTTGGCAGTTTCTTTTTTATTTCGTTAAATGCCTGTAAATCAGTTTATAACACATTGTCAACAATTATCAAGTGTTGCCCAGGGCCCTGGGAGGGGGTGGCCTGCCTAAGGGTTGAGCTTTCCGCTTCGTGCCTTCTACGGTCATAAATATTAGGGTTTTTTGGGTCGAAATGGGGTTACCCTTTCAAGTTTTTATTGGAAAATATATTTGAAATGATACTAAATATTATATAACTATATGACTGATAATTGTTTTTCAAGAAATTGATATTATTTTCCATGCAAGAGTTCTCATAGATTTTCTTTTAAGTCCCAGAGCTGAAAGTTTTTCCAGTTCCACATCCGAAATCCCAAATCCCAGTTAACGACTCATCGCCCTGCTGAGTTTTCTGACCATATGCCCTCGATACGCGCCCGACCTCCCACACCCCCCTCTGTTTTCACCCTTCGCTGCACTCGAGCCAACCTCTAGGACACTCATTTGGCTGTTTATTTGCAAAACGAAGCGCAACGATAACAGCAACAACAACAACAACAACAACAAAAGGAGCAATTGGGTCCGAATCTGGGACTGTCCAAAGGGCCGTGAACGTGATTTTATCAAAATTTGGCCAATTTGTGAGGGCCCCCTGCCCCGGGTGGCTCACACTCCGCTGGAAAGACGGCAGAGCGAAAAACGGGGGAAAGTTGGCCTTTCAAGACCCGGAAAAATATGTGTGTTTGGAAATCGGAAACTTCCCAAAACACACTTGCTGATAATCGACGATGTGTTACGTTTTAAGGCCTTAAAGGATATTTCAATAAATCAGACCATATTTGAGCTCCTTTATGATTTCCCCCTTCAATTACAGGAATCCTGAAAGTTTCCAGTGCATGCTGCATATTTTGTAAACTGGTTGTTTGTCTCGAAAACAAAATCAGATGTCAGAAACAGAGTGCTTGAGCGAGAGGTTTAACCCTTTAGGCCTGTCCTTTAATCAAGACAAATCCCGAAATTGAAAATATTTGCGTGGCTAAGCGACGGCGATTAGGAGCGGGAGGAGGAGGAGGAGGAGCAGGGACACCGGGAAGAACCAAGAACATAGCTAGGACCAAAACAGGAGCCAGGACGAGCCGAAGAGCACAGCTTGAGGTCCACGAAATGAGATTAATACGCGCTAAGCTTAGTCCGTTCCGAGCCAGGATCGATTTAATCCTTGCTTAACTCTTTCGAAACGGTAGCCGGAGGAGGTGTAGGTAGGACCTGCGAGGATTCCCACTGCCGACTACTGCGGCCATGTAAACAGACCATATAAACAACGGAAGCGACCGAGCCTGCCCTGCCGACCGAGACTCTTAACCCCTTCGGACCCTCTCGATCCTTGCACCCACTCACGGGTCAGGTAGCCGGATCAAGAGCCTTGTTTGCATGGCCCGCGCTGATCCGTTGGACAAACAAGCTAATCCTGCGGTTAAACTGCCATTGAGTTTATCAAAATAAGGCATATACCCGGAAGGACGTGGACGTGGACGCGGACGGGGACGGGGCGTGGCAACTTTACGGCCGAACGGGTTGAGCACTCCCGAATGCCCTTCCCGAAAGGGTTAGCCATCCTCGCAGATCTGTCTCGTTTTCCGGGCAAACATCAGAGTCCGGCTATCCGGGCTGGAACAAAACTAATGCCAGCTATAAATCTGGCTGATTAGTAAAGTGCTCTCGCCCCTCGGATCGCGGCGGATCATATCCGTATCCGCATTAATCCCCGAAACATACAAATCCCTTCGCTCCTTTCGCCGATTCGCTCGATTGGCCCGAAATGTGTCGTCTTTTCGGCGTTTTAATCAATGACAAGTTGGTTTTTTCTCGATATCCTTGGTTTTTGTGTGGGTTTTTGTTTGTCCGGGGTAATTACGGCCCGTAGTTTCCGGGCTCCGGACAACTTCTAATCGTCTCTGAGCAGTTTGTTTGTTTTGAATATTCGGAAGGAGTAGTTGCCGGTCGGCGAATCGGCAAGATGAATCACAACTGGGTACACAATCTGGTGTTTATTTTCGGTAATCAACTTCAAGATGATTGATTGATCTTTAAACAGTCTTGGGTCTTTAAACCGAAGTCCCATAGTTGGTAGTCCTATAGTTTTAACAAACAATTAAGCCACCCACATCATAGGATCTGAAAAGTGATATGTCTATAAGTACAGTTTAAATAATAGGTTGTTTCACTAAATTCTACTTGTTTTAGTTCTAAAATGGATATATTCCTCATCAATCTATAACCACCCCGTAGGATGTACATTCCATTTAAGCATTATTCATAGCAATTTTACGGAACTCCTAGCACATCCCAGTCTAATAACATAATTTATAAAATATGGAAAAGAGTCTTCCGGAACGGACATCTCTATAATATATTTAAAGCAAACACACAATATCGAAGAGAACCCACAATTACCATTTTTCCGTGTCCTGGCAGTCCCCTATTATTAGACTGCCCATCCATTAGTTCTGACATCTCCAGCCCCATCAGCCATCAGCCAAAGCAACCAAAACAATTACCCAACATTCAAAATACGATGATGAATAATTAATTGAAATACTGGACAAACAACGGAGCTTAAAAATAAAATCAATTGGGGAATGTGTGGAATAAGGGGCTGTAATTACAGAGCTGGCGCCATTTTATAGCGCCCAGTTGGGGAGAGCTCTCCACCGTGAGAGCCGCAGAGCGCATGTCTCCACTGGGGCGTCCAATAAGTTGTGGTCGCACTCACACTCCCGCCGCCTGCGTGGAGACCCATGGACACACACGAGCGCAGATACCAGAACCAGACCCGGCCACACATACCGATGCAACCCCGCTTCGTTGGCCATCGCCTCAAACATGGCGTCTTCGTCTGGGCCTCGGCTCCGACTCTTTTTCTGCGTTTTTTGTATGGCCTCCGCCCAGGTAAAACATGTTTCCCTCACCTGGCCCTCCTCCTTCCCCTGGAGAGACTCCCCACACCCTCGCATGTGGGATCCAATCGGTCGTCGGGTGCACGCCCCCAATTTGTGAAAACAATTATTATGATTACAGCAATGATTTCGACTTTGCCTGGGGAGTGGCCTCCGATCTACAGTACATACACGGATGGGCCTTGGCTTGGTGCAGCTTGTGGCATGCGAATGCCGACAGCTGCTCTGTCCATTTTGCAGTTGTTCTGGGGAATTCTTTCGGGAATTGATTGCACCAAATTACATTTAATTGTTTGTAGTTTTTGATTTGCTTGGAAGTGTTCCTTTGAACTGCCAAATACGGTTCAACCTCTGTAAATAGTGCCACTTAGCAAAGCGACCCAATTTAGCCAATAGAGTATAACTATTTTTACATAACGACAGTTTAGATTTCAACTTTAATTCTAGAATCTCTATTATACCTCATTAGATACTGTGGATTATTAAAATAGTTCAACATAGTTTAAGGAATAAGGTATAAGCTTGGTTTAGATCTCTCTTTTTTTTAATAATAGTACCACTTAAGTCCTAGAAAGACCCAATTATAGAAAATGGAGTATACCCATTTTTGTTTAGCGTCAGTCTAACCTTAGACTCTAAGATTTTAGCTCTAATCCTAGAACAGGCACTTTACATTGAGTACCACATATCAAGGATTACCCTTTCGGTATATAGGTTTTCCTGTTTATCCTTCTTATGTTGTAGATCTATCCTTTTTTTAGTTTATTAAATACTCAAATCTGTAGCCATATCTAAACGCATATCCATATGAAACCATATCTATCATCGCAACCCCCTTTGAGTTTGCAAACTAGCCGAAAACGGGCCAAGCAGCTTCTGGAACAACAACACCCATATGGAAAGAAACGGAGTCGTAATCAGAATCAGAATCAAAATCGGGCCGGGATACAATTAATAATGGCAACTGTGTGTAACAACAAGAAATACATTAACACCAACAACCGGGCAGAGCTGGCAGCTGGCATTTATCACATAAAAGAGCAAGGCGAACAAAAAACAATAATAAGTACACGGCCGAAATACCTAGCGTATCAAAACGCAACCCACGACGAGGCGGAAAGGGTGACCCAGACCGCCGCATATGGGGTGTACTCCGGGGTACGTGAATCTCCGTATGTCCTCCGTACTGGATCGTGTGTGTTTTCATATATTTGTGTCGGCGTCGGCGTTTTTCGTGCTCCGTGTCAACGGCAATTACCGTCGAATGGGAAAAATAAATCTGGGCAGCCACTGGAGGGAAAGAGACCCCCGACTGGCAGTGGGTAGGAGCGAGAGAGGCGGCGATGGGTTCCACAGCGGCGATTGGTCGAGAGCCGAGAGCCACCCCCGGGACCCGGCCATCACCTCTGACGGGAAACCGGCCTGCGTACTGCTGTGCACGGAATTACTGGGAATTCTCGTTTTTAGTCTACAGCGGAGACTTCAGAGCAGCGGACGTGAGAGATCAGACCCGAGATTTTGAAATCGGAGATCGTGAACTGTGGCCAGTGCTTCGCGTCGGTAAATCAGAACAAAGACCAGGAAGCTCTTGGCCAATTTGAACCGAAAAGTGAATTGGACCACTCATTCGAAGAGTCTTAAAACGAAATCCAAGCGGGGAACTGTGAATAATGGTGGCTACTCCACCACAACTTTCCTAAACTATCAAAAAACGATAATAAACTGATAAAAAAATCAGAAAAAATCAAGAGATTCTCATAAATACGACGGCAATGTGGAGCTGTTAAGCCTGCAATCCTGGCCAACATGGTGAAGATCGTCGACGGTCTGCCGCCCAGCGAGATCAGCGCCCACAGTGCCGGCCACAGCCTCCACCACCATCACCCACTGTCCTTGACACTGCCACCCGCCGCCCACCAGCCTCCCTCCAGCCATCCAATCGGCCTGAACCTCACCAATCTAATGAAGATGGCCAGGACGCCGCATCTCAAGTCCAGCTTCTCCATTAACGCAATCCTGCCGGAGACCCTGGAGCACAGGGACGAAGGGGAGGACGAGGAGCGAAACCCCCCCACCAAATTCCCCCCCAGCCACAGCATCAACAACAACAACAACAATCCCATTACGCCCCCATGGGGCAGCGAGGACCAGGAAGCGGAGAGCGACCCGGAATCGGACCTGGACGTCACTTCGATGTCCCCAGCGCCCGCCGTCAATCCCAACGAGAGTGATGCCGAGGAAGTGGACGAGGAGGATATCGAGGAGGACATCGAGTGCGATGGAGACGGGGATGTAGAAGCGGAAGGGGACGGAGAGACCACCGACGGGGACGCGGAGAACAAATCCAGCGATGGGAAGCCCATAAAGGACAAGAAGGGCAACGAGAAGCCACCGTACAGCTACAACGCCTTGATCATGATGGCCATCCGGCAGAGCGCGGAGAAGCGCCTGACCCTGAACGGCATATACGAGTACATCATGACCAATCACCCGTACTACCGGGACAACAAGCAGGGCTGGCAGAACTCCATCCGGCACAACCTCAGCCTGAACAAGTGCTTCGTGAAGGTTCCGCGCCACTACGACGATCCGGGCAAGGGCAACTACTGGATGCTGGATCCCTCGGCGGAGGATGTCTTCATCGGAGGCTCCACGGGCAAGCTGAGAAGAAGGACGACAGCCGCCTCCAGGTCGCGGCTGGCGGCCTTCAAACGCTCCCTGATAGGGCCCATGTTCCCGGGCCTGGCGGCCTACCCGCAGTTCGGCCAGTTCCTGACCTATCCTCCCACGGCGCCCAGCCTGCTTGCCAGCATGTACCAGCGATACAACCCCTTCGCCCCCAAGAGCGGCCCTGGACACCCAGGACTGCCGGGCCTGCCTCCGCCGCCACCTCAGGTCCCTCCAGGACCTCCCCCCTTCGTTGCTCCGCCCACCAGCGAGCTCTACCAGCGCCTGCAGTACCAGCAACTCCTGCATCAGCATGCGGCCGCGGCGGCACTGGCGGCTCACCAGCGGCAGCTTTCGGTGGTGGCGGCTTCCTCGGGAGCGCCCCATCCGCCGCCCCATCCTGCAGCTCCTCACCTTGCCGCCACCCACCTGGGACAGCCGCCCACCTCACCTGTCCACCTCCACGGGGGCGGAGGCGGCAACGGAGCGGACTCACCGGGTCCGTCGCCCCAGGCCCTCATCAAACCCGTCACAGTTGTCTCTCGCAACAGCTGAAGCCCTCCGGCCGCCAGATCTCGACTGTGGCTGGGCCAGGGTGGACTCTGTAGCTTGTAGCCAGTGTGCACTGTACATAGTTATAGCCGCGACTGAGGCGCTAGACGCTTGTAAATAGAATAGAACTACTACTACGGAAGTGAAGGTGATTCAGTTGACCAGGTTCGGTGGTAACCGAACGTAGAAGGAGCCTCTGCAGAGGATAATAAGCTAGTTAACCCATGGGGATCTATTTTCCTTTAAGGACTTAAAGGTGAACTTAATGGATCCACAAAGTATCTCTGCAGAGGCTTCTGACAAACTGGTGTTTCAGAGCTGGTAACTTGTTGTCACATATCTACGATATATGTTTGTATCTTATGTTTGTATCTAATAATATAGCGATAAACGATACTTAAGCGATACAGGCAAAGAACTAAGCACTATTTAATTTATATATATTATAGCATAGACACTGAGGGCGACGACAGAAACCAATTAAAATTCTATTGAAATAAAAATGGCGAAAACAAACATTGTGAGTCTCTGAAGAATTAATTATGGCCGCGGGGAGTTTCGGGAGTGATGCTCTGTGCCGGCGGGTGTTGAATTGAACTGCAGTGGCTGCTAAATGGATCTGTTGTCGCGACAAACTTGTCGACAATCGACCGAACAGGAAGTCCTTAATAACCAGCACATAACACGTCCGCATACGAGCCCCAAGAGTGGACTTCGGTGCGGGCTGTGGCTATCGAGGCTGTAAGAGTAGCGCTAAAAGCCACTACCAAGTGTCAAATCAAATAAAATTTTAGCGCATGTCCCACACACGCCACTGCAACATGGAGGGTCATACCCTGTTTTCCACATGGAAAGAAATTGGGGGTCCACTATTTGCCAGTCTTAAAGACAAGCAAAGTCTTAGCTTAGATTTTTCTCTAGGTGTAGTTACTGAGGGGCCTTGGAAGACCTTTCCATTTATAGACTCAATTAAAATGGAGTTCTGCCTGGCTCTAAAGCCTAATAACGACTCATTTTTCTTAGTCGATTGGCGGCACACCTTGGCCGCCTCAAGAGGCAGATCTTTCGGGCCGATTCACTTGCTCACTCCCATTATGATTTGGGTGATTCATCGGGCCAGCTCCGAGGGGTTAACAAACTGCAGCCTGCAACTGCGCCTCACGGGGCGTATGCGCGATACTCGCATCCATCTAGCTGACAATTGGCGGCTGACATGTCTCAGTTGCACATTTCAATTTAGGCGAAATCTTAGACAAGGCCCGGTGCCTGCTGAATTCTGTTGTTGAGTCAACAAGTTCCGAGCCAAGAATGGGAATGAGATTATCCAATTCGCTTAGTTAGTACTCGTATTTCACTCTTGCTACAAGTCCTCTTCCTTCGGGCTGCATTTGTTGGTACAGCTTGCAATTGCGTTTTGCCTGCTACTCAATTCCATTCAAGTTGCCAATTATGCGGCCATTATTCAATCAAAGTAAATTTATTTGTTTGTGTCTCTTTTCCACGTAAATCTCTATCCTCCACGGCGGAGGAGGCCCCCAGAGACCCCCTCTTCCAGACGATTCCCCATTTCTTTCAATTTGTTCGCCTTGCGCGACGGATTATTGTCTGTGTAAACGCTTCCAGCGAATTGTATCCGAATCGCAGACGTATTCTCCTCGACTTGGACTATCGCATGATGTCACAGCCGCCAGTTGACTCAATTAACTTGCCCAGATCTCATCGGTACTATATAGTGCATGCAAAGTACCCAGGGGGCACAAGTTCAAGAAACTTTCGGAGGCGAGAATTGCTAGCTCTGATTTAGAATTGGATGTGGCGCCAGTTCTGTTTCTGGAGGGGTTTTGTAATGCTCGGGTCTACTGATTAACCCACAGCTGTGGGAGGAGAACACTACGAGCTTCAATAACTGGGGGTATCAACTTCCAAATTAATATTAAAGTGTTTTCCTTTCTTGTTCGAGATCACGCATTACAAGAAGGTCTAAGGAGAATAGAGTGAGGAGCTGTAGATGTAGAAACCTTACTTCATGTCCTGGAGGCAACCCACTCAACCCCAATACCGGACAGCCTTTGAAGGCAAATCCCAATCCCAAAAAAAAGAATCCAAGAGCAGTTGCGCCTCCCTGACGGGACTCTGACAGCCTGGGATCTTTTGTTTGACTTGTGGCATGGCTAAACTGTAATAATTGGATGAGGCGAGACCGCGGCAGGCCCGCTGATCATCCAGAGGAGATGGGGGTGTAGCAGGGCGATGACGATGAAGATTACGGCGATGTGGATGGCGGTTATGATGTGTGCGCAGCTCACAACTGTGACTGGCATGAAGAAATCATTTTATTATTTTCGAAATTATAGCATGCAACATCGATACACAACAAGCCGCAACTAAAGCGGCAGCGTCAGTCGGGCAGTGGTAGGATGGGCAGCTGGTGGGGGCCTAATGACGATAATTGCACACCTCATACCTTATGCCTCATACTTCGCACTCATCTATATAAAAGGTCGGCTCTATTCACTTTGTGCCATAAACACAGACATTAACACCTGACTCCCGACTAGGTGAGCGACAAGTTTTCTTTGGGAGGCACTGAGAGAAAATACTATATGCCTTGGATCTCCTACCTGTGCGTTGTTTTAGCACTCCAACATAGGCAGTCTTATTTCTCGCCGTGCCTGCAAAGGTGTTTTCCCTGCAGTTGCCTCATTGTTATGGTAAACAGTTGCCCTGCCCCTTGCCCTCTGCCCCCTTAGGTGTGCCCCCTGCTGCCACTCCTCGCGGCTGACCCGTTCCGCTCTTAATTATAGTCGCAGCTTAATCTGGAGCGGACAGCTGAAGCTGAGCCCTAACAATTGGACAATGGAGTTGGAAATGGCCGAGTGCGGGGGGAGTACAGTACTTTGTAATGCCGCCAGGGGGCGGGGGCCGGGCTGCAGGTGGCGGCATAATGGGGCATATGCTGTTGGCCAAAAAGCGCACAAGAGTTGCCAAACAAATTCTTTTGTTATTTAATTGTAACCAAATTATTTCCACACGCTCTTTCTTCGCCCGACGCCCCATACCCCCTGCCTGCCTCTATTCCTGCCATTACCCATTGTTCGCCATAGCCATGTCTGACTGTCGACTGTCTCCCATTGGCGAGTGTTCGCACTGGGCGGGGGCGATCTTTATCGCGTGGAGTTTACAAATTTTAGTTCCTAATGAGCGATTTTAAGCATTGTAATTCATGGCTTCGGCGGTTGCCGCTTTTTATGTGGTTTTATCTCGGAATTTGTGTGTTTTTCCTTTTATTTCTCTTTATTTTGTGCCTTTGGTCTTCGGGCATGATGTTGAGCTTCTCTTGGGGGGGTGTGGCTGCCATCGAGGGCGTGACTTGGTGTTTAAGCCCGTCAGGCTTTAATCGTGTTTAGGTGTTGGAAATTGGAATGGCAGTCTGGCTCAGGGGTAGGGGCTCTCGCAATGGTCTACTTGGACTCCTTCTATTATTAATTGAAACATATGCTCGGCTGCCATTCTCTCCAATCTTACAAGACACAATATAAGTATCATAATCCCCCATACAGCTATAAACAATAATGGCTAAGACGGCCACCCTTTGTCAGAGCCAGTACTCGAGGTCTTGATGATCTACTTTTCCGCTGAGGATTTGCCATATTAGACAACAATTGGCTCGCTCGATAATCTACTTTTGCAACCGCACTGAGTCGGTTACTTAACCTCCGCTCCCCTGACAATATCGCTTACCCAGTGTACTCCGATTCCATTTAGAGGATAACTCACTCCCACCACTGCCACCGTCCGGGGATTATGCCAAAAACGGCAACTATTGCCTTAGTTACCCAATGTTTGCCAACGTTTATCTAGGACATCTGCAAAGAGAAAAGGTCAAGGGATCATCCGTAAGCCTACACCTCCAAGAGGTTCGCATTTCGATGGACGGCAGATGGACGGAGCTCTCAGGGAACATTGGGAATAGTTGCATGGCAGTATTGACTCTGAGGATTATTCAAATTGCAAACATTTTCCTGGAGTGCCAGTACTAAGTGCAAAATTAGGAATCATATTTGCGGCTCTGCAAGGAAGTGACTTTAAACCCCAGGTTGGGAACCGGAGACACTTGCAGCTGCCCAGCAGATCCTCTTCCTACATCCGTCTCCTGATTCCCTGGGAAAGCTTTCCGCCCGTTTGGCAGGCCAACACACTTGAGCACTTAAGAAGGCGAATGAACTCGATCCTGGCGTCCAACTTATCCTTGTCCTTCCCTGTAAGCCAGAGTGTGTACATCTCCGCTCCTTTGTGTGTGTGAGAAACAAAAACGTTTGTTTCAAAACGCGGCCCCGTGCATTTTACGGTGTTGGGAAACAGACGAAATGGACTCATTGATTCCAATTGACTGATTTCAATTGAAGTTAAGTGTCTGCCGCAGTCGCAGCCGCAAACCCAAACGCAGACGTCGTCCCATCCAAATACCAAATTCCAAATGCCGAATGCTGAGATGCCATTTGCCCGCGTTGGCTTTTCACATCCAGGTCGAACGGCGTTACCTTGTTGACTTTGTTTCTGGTACCCATTGGCGGGATTCGGGTCACGAGGGTATGCCCAGACAGTGGGAGCTTCTAGCAAGAAGGGGCTTTGTGTTCTATCAGAGCATATCTTTATGTCTTATAGATGGTTGATGAAAAATATCTGAGTATCAATAATGAGTATCAAATAGTCGTCTAACAGCTCAGGATAACATACTTCCTTGAGCCTTTTTCGGTCGGTCACGGCAGCTGAGCGCCGCTCCTGCCTTGGGGGTGACTCCTGCCTCCCCCTTCGGGCCGTCGCCGCAGTCGACCTTGTCAAGTGCCTTGTTAGCTGTTGGGAAAATGTGCCACACAAGTGGCTCACATCAGCGGGATCGGCGAAGAGCGGAACGGATCGAAAGCTTCCCAAGAAAACTCCGAGCCACCAGCGGAGTCAGAGTTGAGAAAACGCTGCTTCCGTTTAATTGACAATTGAACCGGAGCCCCGACCCCGAACCCGAACTTAAGCCCGGGCCTGGACCCGGACTCCTGGAGAGCCAGAGTCAGAAGAACCAACGAACTGGAGGTA